GGCCTGGAACTCACTATGTAACCAGGGTAGCCTCCAACACACAGGTATCCTCCTGCCTCAGCCTCCCAAATGCTGGGATTAAAGCTGTATACTGCAACACCCAACAGTAAATTTTAGTTTTAAAATTTATCGTGTGTGTGTGTGTGTGTGTGTGTGTGTGAGAGAGAGAGAGAGAGAGAGAGAGAGAGATGATGTATACATTCCATCCATCGTTCACATGACAGATCAAACGACAACTTTGTAGAATTGGTTCTCCATCCATCTTAGTTCAGGGATGGAACCTATGTCATCAGGCTTTCATGACAAGCATTTTTTTTTTTTTTTTGGCCTGCTGAACTATCTCTGGCCCCGCTCTCTTTGTTAAATAATTGTTGTTAAAGTAGCATGCCTCTAACACATTTGTTGAGATGTAGACCGGAAGAGTAGAATGAAGTGTACAAGTGAACCACATGCACACACGACTGGTTATGATACCTGGAAGGATAAGCAAGAGCGTTTTTTGTTTTTTTTTTTGATAAATGATACTAGTTCAAGTGGATGGGAAATGGATTTGAATCCTTTATATAATACACAAAAAAATTGACCTGAGTTAGGAGACCTAAATATACAAATAAAATATTAAAGTTTATAGAAGATTGCCTTCATGATTTTTATCTCAACTCAAACATTTCTGAAATAAGCAAAGACTTCTAAAGAAAAGAAGGACAAAACCATAAAGGAAAATTAATTGATCTTAATTAAAATAAATTCAAAGATGAGTGCTGTTGAGGATAAGAATAGGCTTCTGGAACCCCAGTACTCAGAAGGCGCACATGAAGGGTGGGATCTGCACCACAGGTGCCCTGAGCACGCTGCAGATGCCCACTGATGTGTGCACACCGTCAGCCCTGCAGTAAAGTAGGCAGAGCTTGAGTAGGGACTGCCAAAGAGCTGTGCCAGTGCCCGGGGAGAGTGCCAGAGCAGGGCTGTCATCTTCACACCACATGTGCAGGAAGTGAGGAGAGTGTCAGAAGACCCTTCTGGGGTTGGCTGTGCAGGGTGGGGCACCCGCTTTGTGAGATGTTTTCCTAACTGTATGCTTGGAAAATACCGTTTGGCAGTGCTCTCTAGAAACGTCAGAATGTAAAGTGTGAGTGTAGACGGTTCTGATGATGCAGCATTCCCTCTAGGTGTGAACCCAGGATATTCCAGTGACGTGTAACAAGTGTGTTGATGGCAGCAGTCTCAGAATGTCCCACACAGGAAGACAAAGTTCCCATTGAGAGAAGTGTAGTAATAGGGGTGGCGGGGCTGTGTCCCCAGCACTCCGGCCGCCTGCTCGGCTAGCTTATGCCCGAAATAACAACACACAAACTGTATTCATTTAAACACTGCTTGGCCCATTCTCTTCTAGGCTAATTCTCACATATTAATTTAGCCCATTTCTAATCATCTGTGTATGGCACCCCAAGGTGCGCTTACCAGGAAGATTCTAGCCTATGTCCATCCTGGGTCGGAGCTTCATCCCGGGAGCGGGGCATGGCGTCTCTCTCAGGCGTCTGCTCCCAAGAGGAGAGCTGTCGAGACTGAGCTCACTTCCTCTTCCTCCCAGCGTTCTGTTCTGTCTACTCCTCCCACCTATCCTCTAACCAATAAAATGGGCCAAGGCAGTTCCTTTATTAGCCAATGACCTTCCTCCATCAGAGAAGGGTGACTAGGTAGATGGTGATATAATATATTCGGTGCACTCATGTGATAGCAGTGCTGTTTTGTGTCTATATGTGTTCGTGTATGTGGGCTTGCATGTGTGCATGTGTGTGTCAACTGTCTTGTTCAATCACTGCCCACTTTGTTCTTGCTGAAACTAGAGCTCACTTTATCCACTCAGCCATCTACCCAGTCCCAGTGGGGCTCCTGCACCATCCCGAGCTGTGCTCCTGCACCATCCCCAGCGGTGCTCCTGCACCATCCCCCACAGGGCTCCTGCACCGGCCCCAGAGTTCTCTTCTGCGGTGAAGGCCCCAGATGGTTTTCACTATGAGAATGGTGCTCTTCTCTGTACTGTGTCACACACGACGTCAGGCTGCTCAGAGGGTTTCTTGAGCTCACATGCTTTTGCTGTGGCAGATGAGGGTCAGCTCAGCACTTAACCTAACACTGCTGTCAAGCACAGAAAGAACCACTCCAACACATACAGCATAGGTCAGTCTCAACCAGAGAGAAACTGGGAGTCCGTTCTATTCCAGCCATACCAAGTTTAGTAGCAACCAAACTCACGAATGTAATGTTGGAAGTTGGAGCTCTGGAGGATGCCGTCTGCATGATAGGAGAGTTCTGGGGTTCTTAATACTGACATTAGTCAGTCTCGTGGTACTTATAATCGCTATTCATTTTGTGAAAAGTTGTTCACTTAGAATTCGGGCAGTTTTCTCTCTACATGTTTTACTTGACACTTGAATTAGAATTTATTGTTCACCTGTTTAAACACATACCTTCTGTCTTCATGAAGATAATAGTGGAGGAAGTATAAGTTCAGTTAAATACGTGAAATTACAAATTATTCCACAAAAGGAACTTTAACAAAACACAATGATACAGATCAGGTAGCCACAAAAGGAGTTTCTTTAAGGTCAAAAAGGAATTAACAGCAGGAAGTAGAGGCAGGGCAGCCCATGTTCAGAAGTTGCTCTTCAAAGGGCCTTACGGAGATGTAAGTAGACACAGGGCAAAGGGGACACTGCAGACAGAAAGTACAATTGGGAAGAAGAGGTAAAGAAGGCAGTGGGGTGGGAAGTGGTGTTTACATTGTAGGCTAGAGAAAGGCCAACATGGATAGTTGTGTAGAAGTTTGTCATGCTGAACTGCACACCTGTGGTCTCTGGCAGTGAGCAGGAGCGATACGGGGTGTGAGTTCAAGGACAGCCTGGCTTACATAGTGAGACCCTGTTACATAATTCAATCAATCAATCAAGATCTGGAGATGTGGCTCAAGAAAAGCCCAGAGTGCTGCCGCAGTTTTCACAGCCAGGACAGGGTGTGTGTTTGTTTGTTTGTTTTCCAGGACAGGGTTTCTCTGTGTAACAGCCCTGGCTGTCCTGGAACTTGAAGAGCAGACTGGCTTTGAACTCACAAAGATCCACCTGCCTCTTCTTCCTGAGTACTGGGATTAAAGGTGTGCACTTCGTCCACCTGGTATAAATATATATGTACACATACTTATGTTATTATAGGAGGTAATTTTATCAGTGGCTAAGCAATAGTTTAGTTTGACATAGGTTTCATGTGGGCAGGTAAGAGTATACTAAGAGAGAATTTTCACTCAAGAACTGGGGATGGGCGGTGAGGCGACAGCTTTCTCCTGGCCCTTAGATGTTAGCACCTTTGGTTCCCATTGGCCCTTGCTGGCTCCCTGCGCTCCCCCAGCTCTGACAGTCACACTCCACTTCTTCCTACCCTCCCACCTCCCCTCCCTTTCGTGTTCTGCTCAGAGTTTAGAGCACTATCATGCGCACCATTTTCTTTGATCCTGGCAGAAACTCATGTCTGCGCAACTGTGTGGGAAGGGACTGAAGCCCAGAGACGCGTGACTGACGTGAGGTCCAGCCCAGACTCCGCTTGACAGCCAGGGTGACACTGTCCCGTTCTGACTGAAGCTCTCATCTGTCTCAAATCTAGATGCACTGTGCTGTTTAAAGTGTTTCCTAGCCATATTAGGAGTGATGAAAGTGTGCCCTATTGTGTGTTGGGGTCTGTGAGAGGAGTCTTAGAAACATGCACACATATTTCGCTTTAGGGAGCTTAGTTGTTATTACTTTTGAAATAACTGAGAGCCGTACTGTAGCATATGCAGGCTGTCATATTTCTCTTTTCTGCTGTGTCTTGTTATGTATAAAGAGCTAGAGGACCTTGATGCAGGTGGTTAGTGAGGTGGTGCCTGCTGTGCAGACATGAGGACCAGATTTCTGCTTTCAGCACCATCCCAAGAGCCAGGTAGGTGTGACAGCCGCCTGGAGTCTCATGCCCCAGGTGAAGACAGGGTCTCTGCATCGAGCTGCCTCACTAGACTAGCCAAATAAGTGAGTTAGAGATTGAATGAGATGCTGCGTCAGGAAATAAAATAGAGAGTAATAAAGGAAAACATCCAGGATCAAACGCTGGCCTCTGCACACAGATGTGCACACACATAGACACACAGCACATATGCATGTACATTACACATGTGTACACACACCGAAAAAGGAAAAGAAACTGTAATGGCCTAAGACCTCATTATAGATGCAGAGGCAAAACAGTTACTCAGTGCTTGCTTTATTTTTCATTGTGGGTCTCTTCTCTAGCTCTGTGTCTTTAATTCACTGCCAGTAGATAGGTATTGGGGAGGTAAGGGGATACAATTCTGATTATTTGTGGTACAATAGATAAGTATTGGGAAAGTAAGGGGATACAGTTCTGATTATTTGTGGTACTTTGTTAGGCCTTAGAGATGGGGAAAAATGAAATTATTGGCCATCCATGGTGGTATATACATATTGCTAGCTCAGTATTCAGAAGTTCACAGGTTAAAGACTAGTCTGGATTACATAGTAAGACCCTCTCAAATAAATAAATAAATAAAATAAAGAGTTGTTATGCTCATTACTTTTGAAAGCTAAGAGATGAAACTGTCATTAAGAATAGAGAACCAGTTATAAAGAACTGTCTGAATACCATTTACAGTTGTCTGAAGCTTTATAGTGAGTAAACTGGCGCACTGTGCCGCAGTGAACAGAAGAATCTAGACTCTCTAGAGATGAGAAAGTGGAGCTGTTTTCACAAAGGTGAAACAGGGTGTCTCCATCAGCACCCTCTGGCACCAGCCGTTCTGCAGGTGGTTGTGGCTGCTATCTCATGGCAACAGTTTGCTTACCGCTTTCAAGGTTTGGAGTACCTTGGCCTCCCCCTTTATAGCAAAGGAATGCTTGGGGAACAGCGATGTGCTATTGCACCAGCCTCCCAACTCTTCCTCTCTTTGTCCCCCACAGAGCGACTCTCACCAGTTCCGAGTCATGGCAGCTGTCCTTCGCCATTGTTTACTAATCGTAGGTCCAACTGAAGACAAAACGGAAGAGCTGCACAGGTGGGTACCATTCGTTCTTGCCTTCTCTGTGTCTAGTTAGAAGCTATTATGAGCACAAGAAAGTGAAAATACTGTGTTGAATCAGGTAGGCCAGAGCTACGCCTTAGTGTGAAATTTGTGTCCTGTTCTCTTTGCCTTTGTTCTGTTGGACGCCTGCATAAGACTTTGGTGTTTGTTGTATTCAACCATAAACCCCGGCCAGAACAATAGCATCACAATCATGGAACAGCTTCTGTCTTTCCTTGTGCTAAGTGCTTTATGGAGGTTTGCTCCCAGGCTGGGAGTTACTAGTGGTAGAGTACTTGTCCACCATGTATGAGGCCCTCGGAAAAAAGAAAAGCTAACTTAGTTTTTTCCCTTTTCTTTTGTTATTTTAAATTAAGGATTTTTTAGTGCAATCTTTTCTCATTTTACATAGCTATCCCCATTCCCACTCCCTCCCCTCCTCCTGCTTCCTCCACCTTCCATCCACCCCACCTCCCCATCCACTCCTCAGACTTCCCATGTGGAGTCAACAAAGTCTAACACTTCACGGCAAGACCAAGGCCCTTTCCCCTGTATCTGGGCTGAACAAGGCATCTCTCCAAAAAGAATGCGCTCCTAGATGCCAGTTCAAGCACTAGGGAAAATCCTGGTCCCACTGCCAGAGGCCCCACAGACTGTTCAAGCCTCACAACTGTCCCCCGCATTCAGTGGGCCTAATTTGGTCCTATGCAGGTTCCCCTGCTATCAGTCCAGAGTCAGTGAGCTCTCAGTAGCTCAGGTCAGCTGTTTCTGTGGGTATCACCATCATGGTCTTGACCTCTTTGCTCATATTATCACTCTTCCCTCTCTTGGGCTGGTCTCTGGTAGCTCAGCCCAGTGCCTCGCTGTAGATCTCTGTATCTACTTCCATCAGTTGCTGGTTGAAGATTTTATGATGACAATTAAGGTAGTCATCAGTCTGATTACTGGGGAAGACCAATTTAGCTATCCTCTGCACTGCTGCTTAAGAGTCTTTAGCTGAGGTCATCCTTGTGGATTCCAGGGATTTTCCCTAGAGCCATGTTTCTCAGTAGCTCTTTAATGGCTCCCTCAATCAAGATGTCTCTTTCCTTTCTCTCCCTCGCTGTCCTTCCCGCTTTTTGAGCATCTCATTCCCTCATGTTCTCCTCCTTCCTTCCCTTCTCCCCTTCCACCCTTCCTTCTCTCCCTCTCATAATTTTCTCAGGAGGTCTTGTCTGTTTCCCCTTCCCAGGGGGATCCACCTATGTCTCTCCTAGGGTTAAACTCATTACCTAGTTTCTCTGGGATCATGGACTATATAGGCTGGTTATCCTTTGCTGATATCCATGACTGAGTACAATACCATGTTTGTCTCTCTGAGTCTGGTTACCTCACTCAGGATGATTTTTTTCTAGTTCCATCCATTTGCCTGCAAATTTCAAGATGTCATTGACTTTTACCGCTCAGTAGTCCTCCATTGTGTAAATGTACAACATTTTCTTTATCCATTCTTTTTTTTAAATATTTATTTATTTATGCATGCAATATTCTTTCTGTGTGTATGCCTGAAGGCCAGTGAGCCACCATGTCGTTGCTGGGAATTGAACTCAGGACCTTTGGAAGAGCAGGCAATGCTCTTAACCGCTGAGCCATCTCTCCAGCCCCTTTATCCATTCTTCAAATGAGGGACATCTAGGTTGTTTCCAGGTTCTGGCTATTACAAATAATTCTGCTATGAACATAGTTGAACAAATGCTTTTGTAGTATGATTGGCATCTCTTGGATATATTCCCAAGAGTGGTATTGCTGGGTCCTGAGGTAGGTTGACTCCCAGTTTTCTTATTTTAGTTATCATACCAACCTTTTGAGGCAGCTTTTTTTTTTTTTAATTTTCAAAGGATAAGAAAACTGAGGTCTCCATTTCTTTCCTATACTTAACTAATATTTTCACTATGTCATTTTAAGGGTATTTAACAAAGAATATTTTTACAGTAATAATTTAAATAAAAAACTACAAAGTAAGAATATACTCATAATGTCTTCTATTAGGATATATTTGATAAGGTTGGGCAAAGTTGGCTCAGTAGAAATGCTTTCCATGTGAGCATGCAGATCCCAGTTTGAACCCCCAGTGCTCCTGGGTTAGCTAGCCTGGTGGGTACAGCAGGAAAACAGAGGTCCAGTATCAGAACACGGCGGAAGGCAGGGACCAAGTTGACCTGGGTTGTTTTCTGACCTCCCCGTGTGGGCAGCCACATTCACACACACACAACAGTATGCACATGTACCACACATTCCCAGTGAAGTTTTATACACATATGTATGTGAGTATGTGTGTTGCACTTCTATAAAAACAGCAGTCCAGAGATGAGGACTGTGTGCTGTAAGACCCTCACTCCAAAAACCAAAAAATGTGCAAATATTTCCTTACCATGCATCAAACATTCCTTTAATTTTCCAGAGACTGTTCCCACATATCTGCACATCCTAAATGACCATATTAAGTGTTTTTACCCTTTCTGATTTTTCTTTCCATAATCAAGCAACACTAACAGTTCCACATCAAAATTCAAAGTTTTGTTTCTTTTTGAAATGAGTTACCCCAGGCTGAGGAGCACGTGGGCTGTAAGAGAAGGAAGTCTCGTGGCCACTGCTGTGCTGGTACAGACGGCTCGGCCAGTGGCCTCTGAGGAAAGGGTTTCCGATCTTAGCGCAGTGCTGGTCTTTGGGAAGAGAGATACTGCAGAGGTTATTCAGATTTTGAAATGAAATCAAACTCGGCCTTTTACAGTCTTTTCCTCTCTCTGCAGTTGCTTTGATAAAATGCATCAGCTGCACTGTGCACAGAGAGATGCACTCCAGAGCCACAGTCAGGATCCCCAGGCTTTCTCAGAAGCCTTCCTGGGAGATTGTGGCTGCTGCTGACTTTGCAGTACCCTAGTATGGCCTTGCATGCCCTTTTAATCAGAAGAAAGAGATTAGTATCAGTTTGGACAGTGGTGGTTCCAGGCTAATCCACTTACGTGCCAAGAGCTGCCCCAGGGTCAGGAACTCTCCCTTGAGGTGTTGACTGCACCTCTGCAGTGTCCTGGACCCAGCTCTGTGTAAGCCTGCACAGGTGCCAGGCGCAGGCCAGGTATTTAAGATGAAACTTAAAAGGCATCTTTTAAATAGTATTTTTATTAATTTGTTGAGAATTTCATACAATATAATTCAATCATATTCACTTCCATCCCTGTTCTATTTCATTCTTGAAGTTATTTCCAAGGTTTTTTTTTTTACTCCTTTTTTCAGTGCTTTTGTTTTCGTTTGTTGTTGTTGTTTTAGGGAACTCTGTAGAGATTGGTGACCCTGGATAGGGTAATATGTGGGTGTCTGTGAGGCTTCCTGGCCCAAGCTCGGTGAGTCCTAACAGCAGCTACATCCACTGTCTCTTCTGTTACACTACCAAGCGTGTTGATTTGTGGTGGAAGACTCGGTCCTAAAGTTTATAGATTGTTCCCTGAGCTTTTAATACCTCACTCAGAAACTCATTTTTGTGTTATCCTTTGATCATATAAAGATATTTGTTTTCTGATACTCTAATTTTTTTTCCTGAAGCCAGAAATTCCATTCATATTAGATGATAAAGATGATAAAAAACAAAGAGGCTGGCAAATTTCTGGTCAATTTCTCTCTAAGTCGGCATCATTGTTTCCATCAGAGAGGGAAAGCCCATGTGGCCCGGTACACAAGTTAGCGCCCATGGCTGCACAGCCTGAGCTCTGTTTCCACGCTCAGGTCTAGTAGTGGTCCTCTCTCCTGTTTATTCCTAGCAGCTGGAGTAGTGGTCGTTAGTATCAGCCACCTTTGTGCTGAACAATGCCCTGCTTCTATTTTGTCTCTACCGTTTAACTGAAAGTATTTTAGCGCTCCTTATCACAATTAATAAGCTTACCCATTAATACTTAGACCCTCCCAAACCTGGACATTTCTGATTTATTGTGGATAGGAAATAGACAAGGATGGCCTCCAAGCTGCTAGGGAGGGCGAGACCCAGACATGGGGTAGATTGTTTGAGGCGCTCAGTTCTTCCACGTGCTGAGCTCAGCGTGTGCTTATCCATGTTTTCTCCATGCTGAGGGCCCCAGCGTGTGCTTATCCATGTCTTTGATGCATCTTGAGTGAATTTTGTGTGTGTAAAATCCTCTTCTTTTGTTTGTATGTTGGATATCCAGCTTTGGCCATCATTTATTGAAATAGCCTTCCTTTCCGTGTGTGTGTATGTGTGTGTGTGTGTGTGTGTGTGAGAGAGAGAGAGAATATTTCTGAATTCTTTATTTCCCATTGGTCCAAGTATCTTTAGGCCAGTTGTATACCTCTGTGCTTAAAGTAGAGTATTGTTTTCAAATCAGGAAGTTTGATCCTCCAGGTTGTTCAGGCTGTTCAGTCTCTTGACATTCCATATGCGTTTAAAGATGAGTTTTTCTATTTCTATAAAAATATCATTGAGGTATTGGTAGGAATTATCTTGAATTTCTATTCAACTCCTAACAATATTATTTCCTAATTATCATATATTTCACTCTTTAAATGTTTGGAAATAAGATGACTTTATTTCCATTTATATTCACTTGCTAGTGAGCACTTAAGCCATGTGTTAAGTACTAATTTGAGCTTTAGGGTTCAAAAAATGATGAAAACATATCGTCCATTCTCTGCAGCTCACCCGTTAGTAAATTAACGAGTAAATGAGCCGTCCCCTCCCCCATGAGCACCGTCGTGAGCGTACAGACAACGTTTGCTTTGGAGAAGTCAGAAAGGCAGGCCTTTGCTGCTCTAGTTAACGCTCTAGGCTCCTTTAAGCTCACTCTCTGTGAAGAAATTCTTCAGGTCCCGCTGAGTGCCGTGGTGGAACCAACACTAAATGGGAGTCAAAGTTAAAAGACAGTTCAAGGAGAGAATAGAAAGAGTCCACAAGGTAGTTCTGAGTAGTTTTCAGTGACTGAGTCTACTATCAGTCGCTGAAGGACCAG